TTGCTTGCGCCACTTGTAATCCCCCGCTGTCGTTAATGCCCGTACCTCTTTCACCTCCACAACAGTCCTCATTTACACTCGCCTTTGAATTTATAAGCAGTCATAGCTCTAACATGCATCAAATTTACTTTTGGAATTCTCTATTTACACTGAGTTTGTTCACTTTGGCTTGCTCACGGTCCCTGGTCAAAAGTCGGTCTTCATTCTGGAATCTGTGCTCCACTGCTGTGATGAGTGTCGACGAGACTTGATGTTCACCTTCGATTGATGTAGGTTATCGTGATAATCTCCGCTTTAACTCTTTGGCAACACCTTACTACCTTTTCTCCTATGCTTTGGATCCTCCCAGCGCCAGCTGGTGCCACAATACATTGTCTGCTGATGCCTGTAAGTCTGTTGCTGCTTGACTTATTATTTTGAAACCAGGGTAGCCACTTGACCATCGCACGGTCTTCCCAGACCGGGAATTTTCATTAGAACCCACCGCTTGATTCTTGTCTACGAAAAAAACTACAGCCTCGCTAACCTCCATCGTCACTTACCAAACTCGCTATTTTATTAGCTAAATCTATATCTATCGGTGTAGATGACGAAACATATGTCCTGTACGTACATGACGGACAGTATCAGTCGAATAGCATATCTGGCATCTCCTAGTGCTCGTGATATCCCTTGGGCCACTTCCTACGGTAGTATCTTTGAGATCAAGATAAAGGCTCGATTTAAACAGCTCGATGATGATACCTAAACGGTAAGACCATGTAGATGTTCACGGAAATCATCGTTTACGATGCTTAAGTGTCGCCAGCAAGCAGTAAGTTACTTAGGTACGGAAGTCACTTTTACTCACTTAAGTAACTTGACGCAGTCCCTGGCTATGCCACAAGTCGCTTTAAGTTACTTGTGGCAGACAAAAGCGAATGTGTCAAGTTACTTTTGCTGTAACCGGGAAGGCCTGGATGACAGAAGCCTGTCTGACAGACTTCGTTCGGAGTGTGCAACTTGGTTAATAACGTGTAATCCTCGTAGGCGAGGAGCAGCCAGCACGGCAGGGATGACAGAGTCGATTGCACTTCCCAAGCAGCTCAAAAACCTCACGGATTCCAGAATCTCGAAGTATGGCATCGCCTTTTCGAGATGGTCGGTTCTGAAGTATGGAGCGATTCGTCCTTGGTGTCCAGTAAACGACAGAACACTGTATACACCAATCAATCAAAGTGATACGACAGTTGCTTAGATTCATACCGAATAAATCTCCAAAGCGTGTCTGGAATGAAGCCGCGGACATTGACGTCCAGGGGTGCTGAGCACTGGGCGAATATGATTGGGGATGTGATCTCGCGAATGCGCCGACATACGACAGAGAACGAGCGAAATGATTTCAAGTTATGGCGCTCGTACTGGTCCCTCAGCTTGTCCACCACGAGAGCAATACAATCGTCATCGAGATCATCAAGTTTGAGTGTTCTGCCCTTGAGAGTGAGGAACGGTAACTGACACAGGTGAAAGCCTGCCCTGGCTGGGAGCTGACAACACTGAGGGGTTCGGTCCAAGCTTGAGAGGACCGTGCTGTATTGCCTGGAGTAGAGACTCTACGGGTACGGGTGTACAAACGGTGTGACAGGGTAAACTAGAGAAGAGGACGATGCGAAGTGAAGGCGACAAAGACGAACGATAGCGGAGTCCGAAAACTCGGATAATTCCGCTGTAAGCTGTGGCACCGGTGGCCCAGGCTTACAACAGGATAAGTAGTGGACAACTCACGAAGGCATTGCTAATGTGATTGTCTGCAGCTTCGAGAAAATATACCGACGCAAAAGCGGAGGTCGCTCGTCCTTCGATCATGTCACTCTCAAGTTGTATTCGTAGAGATGTAGTTATGCCAGAGTCGAAGAGGTAGAAATGCAAGAGTGTGAACATGCTGTCCCACCGTAAACCCATCGCACTCGTGGCGTCTGATTCGGGGTTTCCCGGGAATTCTGGGTCTATTGTATGACACAACTCAATCTGTGTCCCCGTTCGTGGGCAATGCAGGTCGGTACAAGGGACGATGTTCACGAAAGGCTCAATACTTTTCGGGGATATCGCGCTTAATACGGCTCTACGGCTACATACACATACTATGGATCTTTGCAAGTAGTTGACATAACAGCACAATTTAGCCCCCAATTCCACTTCAGAGGCCGTTGGGCCAAAGTGAACGCAATATGATATATTCGAATTTCTCGCAATTTTCGTGTTGTCCCGTTTGCATATGCATGTTCATCGCGGGTCGGCGGTATGGGACGGTCCTGGGGCACAAGTTCGTTGACTTCACGGCCCCACGGGACACGGGACACGAACTTGTGCGCGAAAAAGTAAAGTATCCAATTGCGCAAGATAAACCGAGCCGGTGTTGAACTTTCAGGTTGTTGAAGACTTCCACCATTGTCTACGCCCATCATTCTTTTGGTCATGGATCTTTCAACTCATGTGTAAACGTACCCAGTTTTCACTACTCAAATTAAAAAGGAAGCCACAATAAGTATCAACCTCTTCAGCCTCACCATCTTTGAGACTGTCGGAACGCGTTCAAAATTGTGGGAACGAATGGAATCAACTTGCTACATTCTCAGGCTCCTGTTCTTCTCTCGACGTGTTCACTCTCCGACTGTACCCTACGATTGATTACCCAACATCAAAACTAAACTTTCCTGTATCGTATCTCCACGCTTCGCCGAAATTGGTCTCGGCGTTCAGGTGAGAAAGGGGGTAGGAGGCAGAGGTTGAAGGACTACGACATGGATGGCTTAACAGGAGCGTGTAAGTGAAACACATCGATGAGACGGTATATAGGGAAGATGATCGCATCTGGTTGTACGTTTCATATGTATCTTGTCCACAATCGTTTTCTTAAGTCTTCTATTTACATGATAATGTTTGACCTCTCTTCTTTCGTAGTCAAGCTGTAGCATTCTGTAAGTCTTCTCGTTCGTTTACGAACAGCAGAGGTGATGAGAGAATCGTCTACAGATCATGCAGTTGGTCTAAGTATACACGAAACCATCTCCAACCCAGCCCCGTAACGTGTTCCCAGTCGCATATGATGCTCATAGCTACCTCAGTTGACGATATATTACTCTAGTAAACGGCTCGAATTCAGAGTAAGTGTTTTGATAGCTGAACTCGAGCATACCACATCTTATTTTTCTTGGCCAAGTCATTGGAGTCCTCGTGCTTCAAGTTCGCCTGGAGGCATTTGATCGAAAGACCGAAGTGGTCCTCGCCATGATTGTGAAAAGCTCACCGTTTGCAAAAGAATGAGGAGCCCATTCTTAGCTGAAGGACACCTCTGCGAAATCAGCGGTACCCATTGGGCCAATGTGTTGTACTGTAGGGGTTGATGCATGGTAGCGTAGATCGTGGGTGCCGCCAAAGTTAAAATGGGATCATGTTTCAGATCCGTTACAGATGATCGCACATACTCCATGATAATCATGATATCTGGCTACGTTGACGAAGAGTGTGGGTAGAATGGTATGCAGCCTCTACCCTTGCAGAAGATGTGCACAACATGACACGCATTTTATTCTCCTCTAGGGTGATCGGTAACTATGCCACACTGTCCGCATTTGGTCCGTCCCCCATACAAACCCACTCAAATCAAAAGACCCTGCTCAAAGTTTCTCGTGTAATTCACGCACTGACCCGAATTTCAAACAACCAGTGGTATGGGTTCATGACTATATTCAAACATTTCCGGCCGAAATTGCTGTTCTTTGGTCGAGGAAAACACGATCAGGAACCTCTATTCTATTCATAATCAATCGGTACGGCTTCCTCGTGTCGCAGATACTGGAGATGTACACCACAATGCCTGGAACCTCCAACGATGGCTCGTGAGTCCAGTGTCAAATCCTTCACAATGCACCATGAGAATACGTATTTATCCTGTCATCTAGTTGCCGGATTACCGTCTACATATACGATATATTAACGATATTCACAGTGGCCAGCACAAGCTGTACGGCAATATGATCAGTCAGGAACTATAAAAAATGGGCTTGTTTGCTGACCCACTCGACCACTCTCACAGCGTTGATTGCTCTTCGCGTATATAGCATATACAACCAGAGTCGCCATGTGTTGTTCATGGCTGCCGCATTGATCCTCACCAGGTCGGCCCTCGACGTTTATGTGAAGTCGGATTTCTCGGTGCACTACGACAGAATGCTAATATTTTCCACAGGAAACAGTGGTCCAAATTCCTTCCTCTACCACAGGTTCAATATTTGCAAGGATGTCTCGATGTGGATTTGAGAATCCCTTAGACATTAACAGGTATGTTTTGTATAAAATACAGCATCATTCAGAAACATCTATTGTGATGACCACTAATGTGACTATCAATCGTGACAGTGAGCGAGAATCGTAATCGGATCAGTGACCCAAATCTCACCACAACCGCAGCCTTTAATATTCTAACAGGACTGGCTTTACCCCTCACATTCGACACAATCATGCTCCTGTTGACACTCAGAAGACTGTATTCGCACCTCTGGGAGATGCGTAGACTCAAACAGAGTAGTATCTCTCAGATAATATTGCGTGACGGTGCGTGCTCATACAAAAGCTTCTTCGTCCCAGCGGACTCACTTGTGGGCTTTTGAAACACAGGAATTGTGTATTACATGTAGAAATCTCTTCACCATTCAAATATACCCCATTTTGACGTTCACTTGGCAGTGGCATATTCTTGGTGGTGGCTGCGAATGGTTCTCTAAGTATTGTGAGTCTGCGCACAGAGAATGGAAGACGGCGGAAACTAATACTTCGTTCATAGGCTACTATTTTTGATTCAAGCGTGAGTCATGAATCTCAGCGCAAGCATATTGCAATCTCATATACCGCTGCCACATCATTTTCCTTGCTCTGCACAGTTGACCGCAACATCTATCAATGACATATTAGCCGCATTTTCTGCTGTGTAATGACATTTTTCTGTTTCTTATATCTAAATGAATGCTCACTGCGTTCTGTTGAACAGATTGCCAAATCTCTTAGTCAATCACTTATTCCTCAACCTCCGAAGCTTCCAAAATCCACGCTACGGACTATCCTCCAACAGTGCTTCACTCCCTGCTCCTTTTTTCGCTCAGAATCGTCCGCATCGCCTTCTCGGTAACATCGGAGAGCCCTTGGACTATGACCAATGGGACGAATTTTTGGATGACAACGATGACGAGAACGGAGCTGCTCGTAACGACTCAGAGCTCAGTGGCATACGGGACCCTTTGACCACTCTTGTTCCTGTTGTAAGTACGCTCCGCCTTTCCTTATCAAATACAGTGATATCGATTATGAATAGGTGTATGGAGGAGAAGATGATGAGGAGATTGAGATGGTGCCTATGCAGAGAGAGACCGGAACCATTTTGGGAGCCTCGAATATGGAGGAAATGCCTTGAAACTGTATCGCCAATTCACTCCCGTGAGCACTTTCTGCTCTGAATGATATCTGCCAGAACATTTTCTGATTTTTCTACGTATATACATGCAGATCAGAGAAACCTCATTTCTTTCAATGGTCCTCCAACCACTGTTCCTTGACAAATCTCGTAGTTTTTCTTGATCCTCCTTGCCAGCACAAGTATGGCTGATGTATATGTTCGTTGTTTCTTCAACTATGCGCCATAGTCCATTCGTCTGTCGCATTAATTTCATGGTTCACACCCCTGCGTCAGTTTGTCTCTGATGAATGTCCGGCGACGATTTCGTGAGTTGCAGCCGAGCTGCGCATAATTTCTTCACTCTTGATCCGATCCCACGGTGTTTCCATCGTGCATGTAGATACTTCGTACATAAATTCGATTCCTATCCAATAGATCACAAATGAAAGGTTTTCTCGGTCCATTCATTTCAGATTATCAGTGTTGTGCCAACTCTTGACCGATATCGTAGGCTGCTCGGCGCTATGTCCACTATCACACTGGATAGATGAGTGGCTTATATGACCGCACATCTCGGTGTCTTTTCGACTACTCTTGTGCCAGTTGTCAGTACTCTCCCCTATTTCCCTGTCATGAAATAGTGAAATATTTACGGTTACGCGTAGATATACGAAGGAGCTGCGAGATCCGAGCATGAGTAGAGCGATAGTTGTGATTCTCTACCCACATTGACAGTCGTAGGACGTTGCTGTTCGGATTCGTGGCAAAATAGACACTGTTATGTATATCTCGTTCGTTTCCCTTGCTACCTTCGTATGCGTATAATTGTGCTGTCAGAGTACTGTGATAGAGAGGACCTCTGATATACGACACATGTCAGAGGCTCGAGGGGCAATATTACATGGAGTGTTACTGAGCTTAGCCTTGTGATTTCGATGGTCAATAAGTCCAAAGTACCATGCCAATTCACCAGTTTGTGCATGTTCTGTACTGGGTAGATCATGAGGCACGTTTTTTCCAAGCTGAACGTTCTCTCCGTCGAAGAGTACGACCGACTCTGTGACATATGCTTGGGGGTTGGTTTGATTGGTGAGGTAATGTTCGTATTGTACGACGTCTGAAGCAGCGAGATGATGTCGCGCCACTGACAGGAGCGAGGATTCACTGGAACATGTGCCATGCTCGAATTTCGTCCCATTTAGCTCACACAACCAACAAGTTAAAGAAGAAATATATACACCTAAGTGAGCAAAATGCCCGTAAAGCCCGTATTCCATATCGGGACCGGCGTCGCCTGTTCTCTGCGTACAATATCAATGTCAGCAATCGACGAACTCGGCGTGGCATACAGCATAGACGATATCGAACATATTACTTACTGAATCTCAAAATCATCGACACGTTCACAATAGGCGCGTTGCTTCCCGTTTACATCCTCATCCTCATCCCCATCTCCACTATTCTTACGTATCACCCTCCACCCCGACCACCTCGTCTCCCCGTAAAACCGCTCAAGCAAAAAAATCACCTCGATGCGGGATCCCGCGAACGCACCTGCGAACATATTCGCGGTGTCTTGCAGAGCTTTTCGAAAGGCGGCGAGAGCGATTCGTCGTTCCTCGCCGGTCTGTCCGGATCGGAATTGGGGGGTCTCGTGAGGGTTTACGTGGATGTAGAAGTGACGGAGGTATTGGAGTGGAGAAAGAGCTGAGGCGAGGAGACTCTGGTTGAAAGAAATATCGGAATCAGATTCAGAGTGATGATAGGGCATGGAATGGATGCTCACAGCGTCCACAGGATCGTCCGCGGAGTCGACGTAGCGAAAGATCTCAAGTTTCCTCAACCCCGAAAACCTGCGTGCAATCATTCCCAAAGTCTTCACCTCTGCCGCATCCGCCCGATACACGACCTCGAGGCTCTCAAGGTCAGGCGTATCGCAGCGCCGAACGATTCCTCCCAACTCGGACGAAGTGAGGATGGGCGAGTCGTAGCTGTATTCGTAGAGCGGATTCGAGGTGTCGAGAAGGAGGTAATGGCGGGGGCAGTCGGTCAGTGAGAGGTGATGGAGTGAGGGTGGGAGATGGTCGAATATGAGGTCTGCGGGGTTTGGGTAGGCTAGTGTTAGGCTTCGGAGGGACTCAAGAGGAGGAGTTGCAGTCGAAGTAATGGGGAGAAGGATGGTCGAACGAGGGAACGATGAGGACTGTGGAGCAACACGCTGAGATTCAAAAGACGAGGCATGCTATCGAGGATGGATGAAAAGTCAATGGAGGATGTCGTTGCTGAGGATGGCGTGTTCGCGGTGAACGACAGATCAGTAAGTTGTGGCCAGATGAGTGTGGACAGCTCGTGGATAGGAGCAGACTCGATGGGAACACTTAGGATCTGTAGTGCAAGTCTGAGAGGAAGGGCAAGTGCGCGTATCAAAGCCGCCTCGTCCGATATCTGAGCTTCCGTCGCAAAACTCCACTGGTCTCTGCACCACCTCAGCTCGACGATCGACGATGGAATCTGGTCGGGGGGAAGATCTGATGCCAAGTCCTCGTCTTTGAGATTCGGTTCAATGTAGGGCACTGGTCAATGACGTGGAGTGCTCGTAGGTGAGGAGCGGCTAGCACGGCGGGGATGGCGAGAACGATTGAGCTTCCGAAGATCTCATGAAATCGAACGGTTTCGAGAACCTCGAAGGATGGCATGGCCTTTTCAATGTGTTCGACACTCAATTCTACAGTATCCGCTGAGCGTTCTCCAGTGAACGACAGCACACTGCATAGGCTCTTGAGATAATGCTGTAAGAATATTTCGAGACTCGTTCCGGATGAATTTCCATAGTGTCTCGGCGATGAAGCCACGGATATTGATATCCAGGGGAGCTGAACATCGGACGAAGATGACTGGAGATGTAATTTGACGAATGCGCCTGCATACGGTAGAGAAAGAGTGAAGCGATTTTTGTTTATAGTGTTCTCGATAATGCCGTAATTCGTCCACCACAAGACGAAGACAGTCGTCGTTGAGGTCTTCGAGCTTAAGTGACCTGCTATTAGGACTTGGGGTGCGGGTTAGTCATCGACATAGACTCTAAACCTACGACGACTTGAACTGACGAAGACTTTGGCGACACGGTCATCTGCAACCTCTTAGGAGGGGAGGTGGTGGTGAAGAGTACAGTCTCCCAGTTATGACGTTCTCGAAACGTGCCCTTGGAAGGGAAGCTAGAGCTGGTAAGACCCAGTAAAGAAAGAAATTGGCCCCCTTCAAGTTCAAGTTGCAACTTGGTTCAGGAAGAGTCTGTCCGGAGTCATCCGAAGCCGAAGTGGCACATGCGCCACCCACTGGACCAGCCAATTGGCGCACATCTCAACCAAAATGGCTGAGACATACCGAAATCCAGTACTCGTCCGTAGTTCGTCCTCACAGCATATTAAAAATACATCAATTCCTGTAAACTCATGTAGAAAAGAACCTATGAAAACGAATTCTGCTAAACGGGAATGGTCATTTTCTACTTGGCAAGTTACTTGCCCTGTGCGCATGCTATACCATAACAAGGAAGCAATTGATCGCACATGCGAACGTACGAGCAAGGACAAGATACAAGAGCGTTGAGGACAGACTGGGCAACGTCATCTAAAATATTATTCCAGCCCAAATTGACTGTCGAATGCAAGGAGAATCACACATCGCACGATACATGTATATATATCCAGCGAGGGCGGCTATGCAACAGGCATATAGCAAGAGTACCCGTGCAGCACTGATCAGAACTTAAGTTCAATTCAACTCTATCTTTCGGCGTCATCTACAAACGTACCACCACGACAAAGGCAGCCAAACCACGCAGAAACAGGAACGGTCCTGCCTTGCAATTCATCTAGGTCTTGGTCTCGGTTCTACTTGTTCTCTGCAATATCGAGTCCTTCAGCTCTCGGCAAAGCAGCGTAGCGACGGAAGAAGATGGCAACAAACATAACTCACGGGATTTTATAATCGCGAACGCGCACACAATACGCTTCCTTCCCGATCCCGGACCCACCATTGACACCGCCGTCTCCCCCATCCCCATCCCCATACCTTACACTCCATCTCGTCCAATGCGTCGACCAATAGTAGCGCTCGAGCAGGTGTATCGTCTCCAGCCTGAGATGAGGTGCGAATGCATTCGCGAAAACGTCCGCGGTGTGTTGAAGGCCGTCCCAGAATCTCGTGACGGCCCATTGTTCCTCCGCGGGCTGTTTGGGGTAGGAATACGGAGCTCTCGGGTTGTTGAGGTGGACGTATATGTGACGAAGTTGTTTGAGCGGAGAAAGCGCTGATGCAACGACCGTCTAGCCGAAAAAAAGAAGGGACAGTGAAGATCAGGATCAGAGTGGTCGGTGGCATATAGTGAATAGTGTACTCACGGCGTCTACGGGATCGTCCGCAGATGATGTGTAGCGGAATAACTTGAGTGTATGAAGTTGCGAAAACTTGCGGGCGATCAAGTCCAACGTTTCCCCCTCCGATGTGTCCGCCTCGTAGACGACTTCGAGGGTCTTAAGAGCCGGAGTGTTGCAGCGATCAATGATTTCCCGGAGCTCGGACGAAGTGATGATGGGCGCAGAGTAAGCGTATTTTCTGAGACGACTCGGAGGGTCCAACGAGAGGTAATGTCGGGGGCAGTCCGTTAGCGATAGGTGCCATAACGATGCTGGAAGATGGTTGAATATAAGGTCTTCCGGGTTTGGGTAGGCTAGCGCCAGGCTCCGGAGATGTTCGAGAGGAGATATCGTGGTCGGGTTATTGGGGAAAACGACGGTTGATCTCGAGGTTGACCGTGATTGGGGTAGCATCAGACTCAAGGAGGTAAGGCGGGGCATGTTGCTAACGACGGAATGAAAGTCTATGGCTAGCGGTATGGTCGGTGATGGTCGATTGGCGGTGAGCGAGAAATCGGTGAGATTGGGCCAGATGAGTGTGGAAAGCTCGGGAATTGGAGTCGACTCGAGGGGAAGACTTAGTACTTGGAGTGAAAGTCTAAGAGGAAGGGAGAATGAACGTATTAGAGCTGCCTCATCAGATATTTGGGCGTCGCTCATATAAATCCATTGGCTCCTAGTCCATATTAACTCTACGACAGAGGTAGGAATCTGGGGAATCGTAGAAGATTGGAGGCTATCAGACAGACTTGGTTCGGAGTCTGCCACTTGGTTGATAACGTGTAATGCTCGTAGGCGAGGAGCGGCCAGCACGGCAGGGATGACAAGGATAATCGTACTTCCCAAGCTATTCAAGAACCTCACGGATTCCAGAACCTCGAAGTATGGCATCGCCCTTTCGAGATGGTCGGTTCTTAAGTATGGACCGCTTCGTCCTTGGTGTCCAGTAAGTGACAAAACACTGTATACACGAATCAATCAAAGTAATGGCAAAATTTCTAAGTTCATACCGGATATATTTCCAAAGCGTGTTTGGAATGAAGCCGCGGACATCGACGTCCAGGGGTGCTGAGCACTGGGCGAACAGGGCTGGGGATGTGATCTCGCGAATGCGCCGGCATACGACAGAGAACGAGCGAAGTGATTCCGAATTATGGCGCTCGTACTGGTACCTCAGCTCGTCCACCACGAGACCGATACAATCATCATCGAGGTCATCAAGTTTGAGTGTCCTGCCCTTGAGAGTGAGGAACGGTAATTGATACAGGATAGTGGACAACTCACGAAGGCATTGCTAATGTGATTGTCTGCAGGTGCGAGAAGATATGGTCAAGACGGACGGAAAGGTGGAGGTCGATCGTCTTTCAATCGCGTCGCTTTCAAGGCGTACTCGTAGAGATGCAGGTCAGTATCGTAGAGGTAGAAATGCAAGAGTGTGAACATGCTGTTCATCGATCGTTACAACTCGTGGCATCTGATTCGGGGTTTCCGGCGAATTCCGAGACCTATCGTCACAGAAAGATACAGTCGAAGAGTAACAGTACTTCAGCACAGAAGAATACTTTCAGAAATCCCTCCAACCAATTCACAGAAATGAGGATACCGACCAAAGGGCCAGCGACGGCTACGGAAGAGAGGCTAGTCGGAATAGTCCGGAGCTGAAAGAGACGCCACCCAATCCCAGCCCAATCCGGACTGAGCCAATAGCAAGCCGCGCCTATCCCCATTCCGACTTGATTCTGCTCACGAGGTCCAGCACCGGTCGGACGAGTGACCTCTCTGCATTGCCTTTTTGACAGATGGAACTGTCCCAAAGCGTCGAGCAGGCGTTGCGGAGCCCCGCAATCACCCGCGAGCTCGCAAACCCAAATACCCCGCATTCTGCATTCTGTTCCTCCGTCGAGTCTTCCCCTTCTTCACATTCGTGACTTCGAAGTCTTCGAACAGTACACGCCCTGCTCACACCTCCAAACAGCATCCAGTTCCGCCTAGGCTTGTCCAGTCTATTCATACCACAACCTTCCCCGCACGGACCCACGACTTCGACGACGATGTCCACGGCCCCGACTACCAAGTTCGAATCCGACCCTCCCACGTCCCGCACCTTCGCACACCAATCCAAACTCCCGAAGCTTCCCATCCCTCCGCTCGAGGATACGTGCAGACGGTACCTGACCGCGCTCGAGGCGCTGCAGGATGAGAAGGAACATAAGAAGACGAAGAGGGCGGTGGAGCAGTTTTTGAACGGGGAGGGCCCGGAGATGCAGGAGAAGTTGATCAAGTGGGCGGAGGGGAGGGATAGGTGAGCGTTTTGTGCGGGTATATCGTTTATTGATGCGTGCTGACTGGTGTGTGTGTGTGTGTGTTGGGATGTGAAGCTACATCGAGGAGTTCTGGTGCGTTCTTTGTTCACGGTGTGTCTATGAGATACATTGCTGAATGATGCTGTAGGTACGAGTCGTACCTATCCCACTCGGACCCGGTCGTCCTCGCCCTCAACCTGTTCTTTGTCCTCGAGTGAGTCCCATCTTTTCTCGCTTCATGTTCGAGCTCTCGACGCGTCATATTGCCGGGTCCGAGCGATGCAACTTGCTCTTCGCCCAGACGCCGCCACCGCCACCACTGCCACTTTCCCCAACACCGTCGCCAGTAACCCATCCACGTCTGACGATGACGACGACCCGGTCGCGAATGCACCGGGACTCCCGCCGGTCGAGAAGGTTTCGCATGATAGGCGAGATTTGGATTGGTCGACGGTGTTGAAGAGGACGTTCGAGGCGTATGTGAGGGGTGAGCGGCCGAATATGTATGGGGAGTGGTTGGTTTGGTGATGTGGTTCGGTATTTCGGTGCGAGGTGTGGTACTGAGAATAGGAGAGAAGAGTAGAGGCGGTGAAAAACTGACTTGGTCAGAGTCGGACGCACAGTTGTTGTAGGTGGTTTCCTGTTTGTCAGATAGAATGCAAGGCGTTCGTATACCCTATCTGCGGAGTGTATGAACGTCGTTCGAGATAGGTCATGGCCCGAGGACATGCATGAGGAAGGGTTGGTGTGTGAACGTACATACATCACACAATGGACAGTTTGAATGTGAGGCTGAGGAATGGGCCCGCGGCGGTGCTGAAGGAGCAGATTCAGACGGCGATCAGGACTCTCAATGTGGATGTGGCGGAGGGTGATGCGGTGGAGAGTGGGATGGAGCAGGCGTGTGGTTCAGGTCGCGAAGGAGGGGGCAAGAGAAGGGTTGAAGGCTCTGAGGACGTTCCAGGGGTTGGTGTATCATAAGAGGGAGGAGGAGGAGGGTAAGGAGGGGTAGCAGAGTAGGGCATCCAATATTTGAGTGAAGGGATGCTTCGTATGGTTTGTTTATCGTTAGTCCCTCGCAAGTTTCTGCTCCCTGCTGGTGTCTTTCCGTCCGCTTGTCCATGACTGGTTTCTCTTGGTGTATTCACGCAACCTGTATAGTATTGCATGCCATAAATGTATCATGTAGCCATACTAGCCTTTCCCTTTCTGTACTTGTACTCGTACGCGTGTTCATCGTATGCGTCGCCATCGTATGCGTCGAATGTGTGCCATACTGTAACTACTTCTGATGAACTCAGAATTTTTGCGTCTACTGTGAAACACTTGCTTTGCAGTTTCCAAGGGCCCGGGATACTGGCTGTATGTTATGAGCTCGAAAGAAGCTCACAAGCTTTCAGGCTTTGAGTCTTAGTCTGGATTGCTTCTAGTGGGCGGAGAGAGACGCCGCACATGGAATTGGTGTGGCGTGGCACTGCCACGGGTGTCTTCGCGCGTCGCCGAATTTGGGTGAATATCTTGAGAGTTGTTTGGCGACTCTTCCCCATTCTTCCCCATTCACCATGTCTACCTCTCCAGCCCAACCGGCGCCCGAGCTCTCTTCTCGGAAGCGAAAAAAAGTCTCTGGTCTCACCTCGTTCAAACTGTCTATGATGTACGAGTATATCCAGAAGATCCGGAGTGGAGTCGCCGACCTGCCAGACGACGACGACGATCTTCAACATGACTTGGAGAGAGTCCTAGAGAAGGTACAGGCAAAGTTGAACACACCGAAGGTAGTCTTTGGCACTGTACGGGTTCCTGCTCTCGTCTCACCTGCTCGACAGCACACCCCCTTCTCCACTGTCAACACGGAACTATTGAACCACCCGGCCGGCGAGCTTTCACTCAGAAATGATATTTCGGGACGGGTCGAGCAATCAAAGCTCCTAGGTGCAGACAAATTCATGTCATCGACGACTATGCACTCTCTGCTTCAGCTTCTTGAAGACCATACGATTCTATCCGTGCGTCCTCTGATCTAGTACATATTCCTCATCAACTCATGGCTTCGCTCCTTTATGGACAGACTGAAGCGTCCGCACGCCTCTGGATCGATGTCTTTATGTATCGCGCCACCGCTATGGTCGACAAAAGCAAACATTTATTTTTAAACCTCGAATATACTGTCCTCAATGAAAATATGTCTGCGACTGAGTCATCTCAACACACGCTCGGTGGTACTCTCGACTACTTGGTACTCCTCGTCGGGCAAGACGAAATTGGTGTGCTCCTATTTGTCCTTTTCTGTTTCAGTGATATCTGCTGACTATGGGATAGAGAATTATCGTTATCCGCGAAGTATGCCATATCTCAAGAACTCGGGACCCGGCTTCTTCGTTGTGGAGGCCAAGGTTCATTCGTCTTTCTTAATGGACCACATGCCCCAGGCAGTTGCAGACATGATAACCTGTGCCAAGTCTTTGACGTATGCGACTTTTAACCATCCGTCATTTGTCTCCTCATTAATGATCTATATAGACGGACCCATCTTCGCGGGGCACTGACAAACGGACAGTTTTGGATTTTCGTCATCGTCGCCAACAATCCGGAATGCCCTGGCGGAAGTTACTACTTCTCCCAAGCCATTCGGTTGGAGAGGAATAAAGCAGCGATTGACGAGGAGTCGGCCAATAAGATCTCCGGGATTCTCGCTGACTGGGTACGTAGCGCTATATCTTGTCGTTGCTAGGTTTGTTTTTCTTACGCACAACAGATTGAACGTTCTTTTGATGACATCGGGGAAGACGACTGGTTCATTTTAAAGAGATATAATGAGAAAAATTGAACGTTCGGCGTCGCCATCTTTGACATCGCCACCAGTGTATGTCTTGTTCATATTATTTGTGAAATGAGGCCTCTTCATCTCGATTCACCGCACCCAACATAGTCTCATACGGTTTCGAAGTTGGCCGAGTGCCTACATAGTACACCTTGCTCTCAGATATTTGAATCTGATTTTTGTTTTGATATTTGAGAGGTTCGTTGTTCCCCCCAAAGTTTAGGTGAATTTCGACAAGACGATCTGCAGACCCAGCGGCTGCCACCGAAAATTGGGTGAAACATGAAATTTACCCTCACTTCGGCTGAATTTCACGCTATCCGTCTTCCACAGTGATGGCCGAGTCGTCTGTGAGATATACACGGGGGTTGGTTGGTTTGGTTGGGTACTGTTCGTATAGTACGACATCCGAAGCAGCGAGATGATGTCGCGTCACTGCCAGGAGGGGAGATTTACTGGCACATATACTATGTTCGAACTTCGTCCCATCTAGCTCACATAACTAACAAGCAAAAGGAAGCCCGTATTCCATATCGACAGGGGCGCCGCCTGCTCTCTGCATACGATATCAATAGAATGTCAGCAATCAACGAATTTGGTGTGGCATACAGCATAGAAGGCATCGAATAAATCACTCACTGAATCTCAAAACCGTCAACACGCTCACAATACGCATGTTCCTTCCCATCCTCCTTCCCATTCTCGTCTCCGCTACGTATCTCCCTCCACCGCGACCACCTCGTCTCCCCATAAAACCGCTCAAGCAAAAAAATCACCTCGAGGCAGGAGCTCGCGAACGCACCTGCGAACATATTCGCGGTGTCTTGCAGAGCTTTTCGAAAGGCGGCGAGAGCGATTCGGCGTCGATCGCCGCTCTGTCCGGGTCGGAATTGGGGGGTCTCTGGAGGGTTTAGGTGGATATAGAGGTGACGGAGGTGTTGGAGTGGAGAAAGCGCTGAGGCGAAGAGACTCTGGTTGAAAGAAGAGAGGGATAGTTGATATCGGAATCAGACTCAGAGTGATGATAGAGCATGAAATGGATGCTCACATCGTCCACAGGATCGTCTGCGGAGTCGACGTAGCGAAACATCTTAAGTGTCTTCAACCCCGAAGACCTGCGCGCAATCATTCCCAAAGTCTCCACCTCTGCCGCATCCGCCCGATACACGACCTCGAGGCTCTCAAGGTCAGGCGTATTATAACGCCGAACGATTCCTCCCAACTCGGACGAAGTGAGGATGGGCGAGTCGTAGCTGTATTCGTGGAGCGGATTCGAGGTGTCGAGAAGGAGGTAATGGCGGGGGCAGTCGGTGAGTGAGAGGTGATGGAGTGAGAGTGGGAGATGGTCGAATATGAGGTCTGCGGGGTTTGGGTAGGCGAGTGTTAGGCTTAGGAGGGAGTCAAGAGGAGGAGTTGCAGGCGAAGTACTGGGGAGAACGAAACAGGAGACAACTCACGAAGACATTGGTTGTCTGCGACTCCGAGGAGATATAATAACGGATACAAAAGTGGAGGTCAACCGTCTGTCAATCGCGTCGTTCTAAAGTCGTACTCGTAGAGATGTAGGCCAGAGTCGTAGAGGTAGACATGCAAGAGTGAGAATATGCTGTCCCATCGTGAACCCATCGATCGTTGTCACTCTCGGCGCCTCATGACATCTGATTCAGGGTTTCCCAGGGTCTCCCGGTTTCGAGTCCTATTGTCACAACAAGATAAGAGCAAAGAGTACCAGTACTCCAGCCCAGAATGATACTCTCAGAAATCCCTCTAACTAGATCACAGGAACGAAAATATCCAAGACCAAATGCCTAGCGGCGGCTACAGACGTAAGCGGAGGTTTCCAACATATACCGAGCTAGAGGTGACGACTGTATGCCAGCTACCCCGTTATTGATCCGTGCTCTTAGAAGGGGAGCTAGACTTGGAGATGACGGAAGCGCGAAATCGTCTTTGTTGCACCATTCGGACTCTCGGAGAGAGGCTAGCGGAATATTCCGGAGTTGAAAGAGACGCCACCCAATCCGGACTGAGCCAATAGCAAACCGCCCCTATCCCCATTCCGACTTCATTCTGCTCACGAGGTCCAGCACCAGTCGGACGAGTGACCTCTCTGCATTGCCTTTTTGACTAGGGTGGCGGACCAAACCTCCCTGACGGTTAGGTACCAGGTAACTTACCATGCCGGGTCGGAGGGGGCGGTAACTTACCAGGTAAGGTACTCGGAAAGTAACCTCACGTGCAGCAAAATATTATTTTATGCCCAGATTTTCTCGCGCACAGCGCGACGTCTCCTGCACAGTGGGTGTGTGGTGTCACAGTAGACTTTGCCTGGGGGTGCCTACCCTTTGTGTCATGCACATTACTGTTGTAAGAAAGAGCTGTGGATACTGGTAGTGATCAGAACTACCGCGACAATATCTGTATGGCTAGCATTTGATAAATATTCTCATGATATTCTGACTAAGTGCCACACAAAAGTCAAGGGAAGGCAGAGCTCGGCAATTTCCGAAATATCCGCTACCAATCCTCCTCGGGTTCAATTCGCTGCAAACTGCTGCGAAACAGAACTATACGTTGTGCTACCTGCCTGGGCCCACAAATTACTTTGACAGTGATTTATTTGACACACCTTGGTGAGGTGGTGACCTTGTGGCAACACGTGACCTTTGGGTACCTAACCTACCCTCCTCTGAGGGGTCAGTAAGTTACTGGTTCCAAACCGGTAACTTACCCGGTACAAAACGTTTTGGGTACCAAACCTAGGTTCGGTCCGCCACCCTATTTTTGACAGATGGAACTGTCCCAAAGCGTCGAGCAGGCGTTGCGGAGCCCCGCAATCACCCCTCAGCCTCCTGTCCTCTCCTGTCTCGAGCGAGCTCGCAAACCCAAATACCCCGCATTCTGCGTTCCTCCTTCAGGTCTTCTCCTTCTTCTTCACATCCCTGACTTCGAAGACTTCGAACAGCACACGCCCTGCTCCCACCTCCAAACAGCATCCAGCTCCGCCTAGGCTTGTCCAGTCTATTCATACCACAACCTTCCCCGCACGGACCCACGACTTCGACGACGATGTCCACGGCCCCGACTACCAAGTTCGAATCCGACCCTCCCACGTCCCGCACATTCGCACACCAGTCCCAGCTCCCGAAGCTCCCCATCCCACCTCTCGAAGATACATGCAGACGGTACCTGACCGCGCTCGAGGCACTGCAGGATGAGAAGGAACATAAGAAGACGAAGAGGGCGGTCGAGCAGTTTTTGAATGGGGAGGGCCCGGAGATGCAGGAGAAGTTGATCAAGTGGGCAGAGGGGAGGGATAGGTCAGCGCTTTTTGTACGGTTTTAGCGTGAATTTATTGATGAGTGCTGACTTGTGTGCGTTGTGCTGTGAAGCTATATCGAGGAGTTTTGGTGCGTTCTCTGTTCTTGACGTTTGTATGGGATATCCGTATTGAACGATGTTGCAGGTACGAGTCGTACCTGTCCCACTCCGACCCGGTTGTTCTCGCCCTCAACCCGTTTTTCGTCCTCGAGTGAGTCCCATATTCTCTCTTTCAGGTGCGAGCTCTCGACGCGTCATACTCTCGGGTCCGAACCATGCAACCTCTTCTCAGCCCAGGCTCCTTGTGATTCTATGGGCTCTCTCATATTGTCCGGATGCGGGAATATCTTCGCCTTCGTCGCTCCCCGCTTCGGCGCTTATCCTGCAGCTTCCTATTCTGTCATGGGCTTGCCCTATACGGTTGGTCATTCGACACTGGCCGTCTGACGTCGCCCAAGTATCTTGTTCCAGCTCCAGCTACTCCAGTGAGTGAACATCTCGGAGAGACGCAGTGCTGGGAGGAGCTATATGCATTCATAGTGGGACTCGCCACTGGCCCCTATCTGGCTTGTGACCAAATGTCAACGCATATATTTGACAGTACTTTGAAGGCTACCGTCTAGCAATGGTTTAGACAGTCCGGTCGTCGCGACCACTTTCATCGCTTGTACCTGGTCGGGCACAAGCTCCTTCATGACAGGACTCGCCACTGACCCGTATTTGGCCTTTGACCATATTCAACGCATATATTCGACGGCGATGTATACCGTCTAGTAATGGTCTGGATGGTCCAAACATCGCACTTTGTTTCTCCTATTGTACTTGGTTGGAGAACAGCTCCAACTGCTCATGACGAGACCCCCTACTAGGCCTTTGGCCAAAAATCAACGCATATATCCGACGTTACCCGGTCGTCTGCAGTATAGCAGTGGTCTGTATGATCCATTCATCACAGCCGCCATGATCACTTGTACTTCGTTGGACAAAAAACTCCATTAGTTCGTGACGTGACTCGCCACTGGCCCGTAGTTGGTGTTTGAACAAATGTAAACACATATATTCTACGTCCTTCGAATTAGGGCCCGCAACCATATATACACTTCATTCGCACAACCGTTGCGTACATACAGACTGACCTCGTCGTTGATTTTTGTCAAATAGGAACGACCCAACGCCCGATCGCGGCTCTCAACTCCCCCGCGCCGCCTCCCTCATCGTCTCCTCCCTCGGTTTCATCCATGACCTACGCACGGGTCAACTCAGTCCCGATACCGTCCGTGGCACGCCGCTCGATATGGATCAGTATCATAGGTTGTTCGGGACGGCGAGGATTCCGACTGAGGTACGTTGTGTCGATAGGGAGAGAAAAAATGAAATGAAATGTGTTGCTGATGTGGATGAATGCGTTGTGTTGTGTTTTATGGTGCGGTACAGAGAGGGTGCAAGATGGTCGGATCGCAGGAGGCAAGACATATCGTGATCCTGAGACGAGGACAGTTCTGTGCGTGTTTCTTTCACGTTGGCGTTTGATGAAAGCTTATTGAAGTGCACGTTGTAGACTGGTTCGATGTTCTGGACGAGGAGAATAGGCCGCTGCTTACTGAGCGCGAGATATTGAGGAACTTGCAGGCTATTGTGGCTGATGCTGATAAGTTGCCGACGTCTGAGGTACGCGCGATTTCTCTCTTCTTCACCCGTTTATTAGTGTACTCTGTCTCTTTTTTGTTATCCGTGTACGAAATCGTCTTTGATTTTCTTCCTGCGGTCATGTATTCGTCCGCCCCCCTCTTCCTCTAGCCTATATCCATTTCTCCCGCCTTCTTTAGCAGCCGATCTATTCCCTCTGCCTTCGTCTCCCTTGGCTGTTGTCCTCTCCCTTCGTCGTATCTTCTCATGATACCGACCGTTTCTTTTTCCATCCAAACATTTCCCGGCCTATCCCTTCCGTCATCTCGGGGTGCTAATTCCCTCCCTTTCCATCCTGTTTTTACGCTTTCTTGCGCCTCACTTTTCTCCTGCTCCCTTTCGCATGCCCTTCCTTGTCGTCCTGTACTGCCATTCCATTCCTCTTTCCTTCCTATTCCTTCTTTCTCTGCGTAATGTCTCCTTATCTTATCCCCTTCATCTTTACGTACTCGCCTCCATGACCCTCAAGGCCTATGTTCCTGAACCTCCCCTGCATCGTACTTTCCCATCATTGTGTACTACTCTGCTTTGCTTTCCCTAATTGCCCTTCCTTGCGCGTCACTTTTCTTCTGCTCCCTTTCACCGTCCCTTTCCCGTCCTAGAATTTCTCAATACCGCCTTCTCATCCACCCTCACGTCTCGTGTTTCTTACCTCCCCTCCCATTCCTCCTCATTACGTGCTCAACCCCCCCCCCCCCCCCCCGTTCCCTACGTTCGGTTCTCTTACTTCATAGGAATACTCTTCGTACTGTCCCAAGATTCCTGACTATCCCTTCCCTGCTCCCCATTCTTTCTTTTATCGTCCAGAGCACTCACTCTCTTGTATTTTATCTGTTTTCGTTCCGTCTTTGCTAACGCACATATTTTCCCGTTCTCGCTCTCTGCCTAGGTCGCCCGAAACTCCATCGGAGTTCTCACCACCGAGAATCGCAAAACCTGGTCCTCCCTCCGCTCCTCCCTCTCCGCCGAACGCACGAACGCTTCCTGTCTCCACATCATCGACCATGCCTGCTTCATCATCTGTCTCGATGACGGACCCGCGCCGGAGGGATTGTCTGAGCTGTGCGCTAATTTCTTGTGTGGGACGTATAAGCTCGAGGGTGGCGGTGGCGTGCAGGTCGGGACGTGTACGAATCGGTGGTATGATAAGGTGCGTTTTTGATTTCTTGTCAACGATTATAGTGGATGCAGTAGCAGATTGACGAGCTGGGTCGTTGTATGCTATGTGTTTAGTTGCAAATTATCGTCGCGACTGATGGAGCAGCCGGTATCAACTTCGAACATACGGGTGTAGACGGACATACCGTCCTTCGGTTCGTCTGCCTCACCCACCTTCTATCCGATCTAATTTCTTTTTGATACTAACATACCTCTAGGTTCGCCGCCGACGTCTTCACCGAGGGTCTAATGCTCCTCGCACGCTCCATCAACCCCTCCGCTCCCACCCTCTTCCACGCCTCCCTCTCCCCACACGCGAAATCCTACCGCCCACCCCGCTCTAACGCTCCTACCAACGGCACCTCCCGCCCACCAGTTCCCCAACGCACCCTGACCACCGAAACCTGGGACACAAACCCGAAGAAACTCGAGTGGAAGCTGACGCCCGAGCTGAGAGCCGGGATCCGGTTCGCGGAGACCAGGCTGAGCGATCTGATCTGTCAGAACGATTGTCAGGCGTTGGAGTTTAAGGGGTACGGGAAGAATTTTATTACAGGGCATGGGTTCAGTCCGGATGCGTTTGTGCAGATGGCGTTTCAGGCGGCTTATTATGGGCTCTATGGTGAGCTTTTCGTTGAGATAGAGATATGTTTTTGAGGGTGGAAAGAGGTGAGGCTCTGATATGTGTTTGTGTGTCGTAGGTCGGATCGAGTGTACGTATGAGCCGGCGATGACCAAGGCGTTTTTGCATGGGAGGACGGAGGCGATCAGGACAGTGCAGCCGCAGAGTGCTGATTTCGTCAAGGTATAGTCCTGTTTCGCACGTTACAATACCACGATAAGTTTCGTTGCTGACTACGTGTCGACCCCTGCTAGACGTTCTTCTCCGAGGCAGATCCAGCGACGAAAGTCGAGAAACTCCGGAAGGCATGCGAACGCCACGTCAAGCTCACAAAGGAATGCAGTCAAGGCTTTGGCCAGGATCGGTATGCTGTCCTTCATCCCTCGTTTTGCCTTGCGTACGTGCCTAACCATCTCTCTTGCGTGTAGACACCTCTACGCACTCTATTGTCTCCTCCAGCGCGAAATCAACGAAGGCACACTCGATCCCTCTCCAGACGATCCTCCACCCTCCTCCGCCTTCTCCTCAACCGATTCATCCGCCGGATCTCCCTCCACCTCTCCCGACTCGCCGTCCTACATCGCCAGCGCCGATCCTGCCAACCACAACCACAATGGCGCCGACGCAAACAAGACGAAGAAGCGCAAGCCGAAGATGCCCGCGATCTTCACGGATCCGGGATATGCGCTCCTGAGCACTTCGATCCTCAGTACGTCGAATTGTGGCAATCCGGCGTTGAGGCTGTTTGGGTTTGGGCCGGTCGCGGCGGATGGGTATGGGATTGGGTATATCATAAAGGACGACGGGATCAGCGTGTACGTCTCTTGTCTTTTTTCTCTCTTCCTTCCTCTTTCGCATTCTGTAAGTATGGTGGATTGTGTGGCGGGATGCTCACGGTGCCACGGGCGTCATTTCTGTTTATTTTCATCTATAGATGTGCCTCGTCGAAACATCTGCAGACGCGACGGTTCCTCGATACGCTCAAGGGCTACCTCTACGACATGCAGCGTATCCTCATCGCGCTGCATAAAGAGGCGAATCAGCGCCCGGAGCCGTTCGTCGACCATGCGGGGATATTGAGGGACTCGAAGACGGGGAGGCCGATCCATGGGGTGTTGAAGGAGGGAGAGGACGGGGAGGACGATGGGGTGGATAACATGCGTTAGTGTTCTCTCCCTATTACTCTCTTGCATCTCGTTGTTGGATTTGGAGACTGATGGGGGGTTTTTTTGGACGGGATGGGTAGCGGGGTACTCGTTCTTTGATAGTTACGATGTGGCGCTGCTCGGGAGAGGAAGGAAGAGGGCGGCGCATTATAAAGTCGGTGAGTATCTACTCAGCTTCGTGCCATGTCTCCTACTCCCTACTCCTTCGCGCTTGCTCCTTGGCTCTGGGTACTGATGTGGTTTGCTCCCGAAATGTAGGCAAGGTCATCCCGATGGTGGAGTACTGATCTCGTCGGTGAGATAGCTGCAGTCTTTCGAGTCTAATTTTTTGGTACGTGCTGTCGATGGTGGGTGGTACTGCTGGTGTGTAGTCTTTGTACGAGTATGTGGTCCGTCTCAGGGTATATCGACCTGGAATGGTGAACTTATGCGTCTGTATTTTCTTGATGTATGCTTTTCGGCTGCGTGTATATGTACGTTTAGGCGTTGTAATATGTAATGTGTCACGCTGTATCTTGGTTATGATGTTGATGTAATGTCTCTGGGTGTCGGTTTACTGTATGTGCCGGTGTTCGTATGCTCTCACATAACCTGCATAGTGCCTGAGTATGAGACGTGTTCAGTCGCAAACTCTGTTCGCCGCGGCTGATACTTACGACTCGCATGTTCTCCCAGAGAGCTCATTTGGCATCAATGGCTGCGACCTTTGGGAAACGAATGGGAGCGAGCACGTCAGGAGCGATGAGGAGTGATGGGTCGTGGCATTGCATTGGTCGACGGATGAATCGAGGAACAAGGGTAAATGCTCGATCCGTTATATGGTGAGAGACGGTGGGAGAACTCACGTTTGCTTCACATACCGGTCTCCTGGGTCGTTCACATCTAAAGCTAAAGGTTCGCGGAACCGGTTGGCTGAAACCTTCGTCTTTCTCTTGGCTGGGTATGGCCAATAGCAAAACACAGGCGAATGCAGGAGTCGTTCGTAAGGCAGCATATGAGATAAGAGGGTATCGTGCATACATCGTCCTGATGGGAGACGGACAGAACATAAGAGTGGCATAAATGAGCGACCGTATCGTTCAGTTTGACATGTCCGGATGTTCGACAATAGCGACGGAATCCCTGACACCATCATCGCCTTCACAATGTTCCATAGAGCATTTCGTCCTCTCCGTCTCTGTCTCCATATCCGCATCACGACCATACCCTCCAACACCACCACGACCACTCCCGCTAGCACTCTCACCTTCAAAGCCATACGAATACCTAGCCACGTCCGTCTCGCGATGCTGCGTAATATGCACAGCGATAGACTTCATCTCGTGTCCGTCGATACTCCCATTGGCGATCCGTGCGAGACGAAAAGCACCGGCTGCGTTGCGTTGAGCGCGTTCGAAGTCACGGATGTCGGCCGTGGTGGTTTGTTGCGTCGTCGTGTTCTGGCTGGCAAAGAGGCGGTCGGAGGCCATGCCGACGCCGATGATGATCATGTTGAAGACAATGGCGATGATGGGCGAGATCTGCGGGACCGCATGGTCAGCATGGACTGGTCTATTATCAGGGACAAGGAAGAGACCCTGCCAGGTCGAGGAGTACGTAAACTCCTGGGGTGTGGACGACGAAAGCGACAAGTGCGGCTGTGATAGTCACAGAGTATATCGCTCCGGATTCGATCACGACGCGGAGAATTGGGGATAGACGATCCGTCATGCGGTACTGGGAGACGGATCGATTAATTCTCCATATGCGGAATGCGAGTAAACCTGGGGGGATATTCTAGTTGAGGGAAGTCTTAGAGGGAGGCTGAGAGAGACTACGTACTGGTGGCGGTAAGGTTAGTCGCCAGGGTCATGGCGTATACAGCGGTAATCCATCGGCCAGTAGCCTTCGCATTCGCGAAGATATTGTCGGTGTCCTGGGGGAGCGTCCCAAGAGCGATATTGTTGGCGATGGAGCATACTGCAAGGTATGTGAGCTCAGTGTTACAAAAAACATCAGCTTCACCCGAGGACAAAACTCGCCAAATAAGCCAAGCCAACCAAGAATAGGAAGAGCCACGACGAGAAGACTGTTCTGCCAGACAACATATGCGCGGTAGATCTACCGGGATATGATGGAGGTGGGGCACCTTTCAGTGAAGTAACGAACGGCTATGATGTGGTCACACTGACCACGACCGCGTCGAGTATAAGTGTCTGTGTGTTGAAGAGGCAACTTTTGATAAGGAACGTTCGTTGAGAAATGTCGTTGAAATATTGAACGGGCCCTCCAGGAAGTGCAGGCCCAACACTTAGAAACCCATCGCAGATGCGGACAATGTTTACGATCATCTCCTATGAGGAGGGATGCCACAGAGTGGTCAATAAGTTGGGTTCGAGTGCAGGATGAATCGACGTACAGCTGTCGTCAACACCAGAAGAGAGCAAGCTGCTGTGATCAGGGCGTAGTTGAGTCGTTGCTTCCTCCGATTCCGGGTGAGGATCCAGAGAGTCATCATGAACATGAGGACGGAGAAGCCTGACGCCACCCATAACCGTTAGCTCCATCTATGCGCAGCTAACAAGATATAAAAACTGACCATACAGAATGCCTTGAACGGACGTAGATATCAGTCCGGCTTCCGTCAATTGTAGCATACTGAGAAGTTACCAGCTATGGAAAATGCTCATGCCAGCAACGGTGCTGCTGAAAGGAACAAAAGGCGTACGCCCTTGCAGAGACGAGACAGCTTTATAAGGGTCCATACTAAGGATTTTACGCTGCAAGCGCGTCACCAGGTGAGGATGAGAACGCTCACCCGCGTAAATATCGAGCAGGTCATAAATAAAGAGCATGGTGGGTTGTGCTCGGCGCGGTCATAGAGTAGTCCGACTTCGAGGGTCGCAGCAATTCCAGCGGTACTTGCACCGATGTTTACACGAGATTCGCTAATGAGTGTATATTTACCATTTAGAGGAGAGTGAACCGTCGTGGAAGTGAGCTGCCCACGAGTACTGAGTACTGAGTCCGCATAGGTGGTTCTGGATGGTGCGGTCGAGAGACTCAGACACATCAGCGAATTCGGGAAAAAGTGGCCGGACGTTGGCCGGATTCTGATTCGGTCCCGCCGTGGATGCCGCTCGAAACGCACTGTCATCGGATCGCGATCTGGTTGTCACGGCGAAGCCCACTCAGAACGCACTATAGTCCAGATCAGGCAGGCATGGTTATCATGATTACCCACAATTTGAAGCAACTCTGGGAGGCCATCACAATCAACTACAATGAGGTACCATCGTTGCTCATACGTGGGCTTTCGTACGCGAGATGCAGGCGGAAGTCAAAAAAAGGGTAATAAATCGGTAAATAATCGCAGGCCTCAAAAGCTTGTACCAAGCCAAAGAACAGACGCTATCCAGATGAGTGATGCACATTAGGTGCAAAGACAAGGCATACTACTTGTACAACACCAATACAGAATACACCAACATCGTACCGCTCACTCCTGCTTCATCTTCTGAACTCTCGTCCGTCGGCAAAGGTTACATTGTTCTCTAAGCAACTCATCTACAGACGAACCAAATAGAACGGCTTCCTCCTCCATATATTGTAGGCCTGCAGACGGCGAGGACGGTCTCTGAATATAGCCCGAGCTGTGCAGAATACCGACAAGACAGTAATCAGAGGCACTGCAACGATTGATATAAGACTCCAACGTACCGTGTAAGGTATGCGTAAAAGGCACCAATGGTGGCTTGAGAGACGTGATTGACGATGAAAAGGAAGACCTCTACCCACTCGCCCGGCATCCAATGATCGTGGGTAGAAGTATGAACGGCACGACAATACCTACAAGACTACATTCTTCAGCGTTCGCCACTGCGGCATCGTCACAGTAGGGGTTATATACAGAGTAAATAACGCACCAGTACCAAAGCTGGAGTCCTTTCCGGGCTGCTACATCATGAAGCTCATTTAATTTATTGACTTGTTGACTGCTGAATCTGGTGAGCTCTTGAAGACATAGGTAGAACAAGTCAAGGTCCCGAGGCATTCTGCATCAAGGAAGAGAAGACGTCCCGGCGAAAATAGAAATTGGTTGGTCAGCGAGTTTCGGGCAGCGAATACCTGTGGCCGAGAAGCCGCGGCCACAGCATTTCGCTGCCCGAAATCTCGCAGCCTATCAGAGCTCTCCACCTCGCCACACTGTGACACTGGCACTTATGTAGTATTTCTCTATGCAAGAGAGGACTACGTTGCAGAGGAGCCTATGATAGATATAGTCTGACATTACAAAGATACCTTACCGCGGCTGCATAACGAATCAGGATAGCGAAGCGTATCCATCGTTATCCTCTTCACTCGCATCCGACCCTCCCAAATCATCGTCGTCCGACGCGCTCAAGACCTCTTCATCACCTTCATCCTCCTCCTCGGCCTGTTCGTCATCCTCCATATCATCCTCCTCATCTTGTTCATCGTCCTCATCTTCATTCTCATCGTCATCCGCTCTGCCCTCGATGTCATCCACGCCACCGCCACCATCGTGTTCCTCGATATCCGAAGCTTCGTCTGACTGCGTATCTCCCGCGATCTCGTCTTCTGCGGTGTCTTCTGCATCACCGGCTGATGTATTGCGAGTGGCATTTGTGCTATGCCCAACACCACCACCCAGATAGCGCATGAACATATCGCGGTCTACCCAGCTGAGCATTGTTATTAGTTATACACTCGCTCAGCATTGAAACAAACCGCTCACATATTCACATAGAAATTCACCCAGTCATCTACATCACCAAGAGGACGAGCAGCGGTAGGCTCTATGGTATGCAGTAGGTTTGATGTGCGTCCACCAGCGAACGCCGGAATGAGATGACATCCTCGTATGACCAGGGCAGGGTCAAGAAAGCCGAACGCGTAGTCGTCCGTATCTTCCACGAAGCCGATTTTAGGGAGTCGTGCGAGCTTTGATCCATACCGATAGCCATGCTCGGCTCCATACCAACGTACCCACAGGAATTCGATACGCTGGACTTCGCGGTTACGGGAATTTGATCCAACGTGCCGAATGTTAGCATGGAAGACGCCTAGAACTCGAGCGTACCAGTACGGAGGAGTATTGGGGCCCGTCTCGGGCGAATAGACCATAACGTTAGCTTGTGTTCGTGGATTGACGGAATCGTAGGCGCGGCGTAAATCGTATGTTGTGTAGTTGACACGGAAAACCTTTGCCGCATACATCTTCCCCCCAAGGATTTGCAGACTGTTTCGCTCCTCTTGCGAGAAGGCTACCTCTGCATCAACGAAGTCGTGGCCATAGCAGCGGGTGAGAAGGTGGTCTTTCAATTTCGGAAGGAACTCCTGTGAGAAAGTGTGAGAAGTATTCTGAATACAAGATGTTTCGCACATACTCTCTTGGCTGGGTCAGAGGGTTTCTGTTGCACCCATGGAATGATAGATATGGGGACGTTTATGGACGGAGAGATGTGATGGTGAAGCTCGGGTGAAGCTTCCGTTGCTTGTCGTACATTACGATCGGCCTGGTGCGGATGCGCCTTTCGGGTCTGAATGTTCTTCTTTCCGGCTTCGCGTGCACGGGCAAGTCGCTGACGCCGACGATATCGCTTGGCGATCTGTCCGGTAGGATTGTTCTTATTCGTGGCTTGATATAGACGTTTGACGACGCGATGAGCCAGCTCGCCCTGATTCTTGAGTGTGAGTCATGTGGTACTGGGTTTCCCAATCGCGAAACGAACTTACAATCTGCGTAGAGTACGAGTCGGTGGTCCCAAAAAATTGGATCGTTGATACATAATCACCAAGCGCATGGAACTTGTAGGTTAGCAGATTCAGCAAGCGCTTGGTGGGAGACGTCCGAGTCGTAGAACGGTCAGGGCTCGCTGAATCTGCGGCCATTGCTGTCGTCTGGGGCTGGCGTGCTTCCTTCCGTCTCTGGCGCCTATCTCGTGCGTCTCGTTCACGAGGTAGTTCTGTGGTCGGGAAATGGGGACATGTGAAGTCGCGGAAGCGGCGGAAACGGCTACCAAGATCGATTGTAGCTGCACGTAGAAGGCTGAGCGTGGAGTCGGTGTGAAGGCGCAGTTTGGCCAGCGCATGCCACTCAGCGAGGCGATATAGTAGCGTAAGGATGATTGTATTATGGGGTTCAGATAGTATGTTTTCGAAGGCGGGTATTGCGCACTGGAAGGGGTCATATCAGGTGGATCCGACGAATCAATTTTGAGAATACGGACCTGCAGAAGATCCTCAAAGTTTCGGGCAGCCAGTTTCTTCATATCTGAAGCATTGTTGCGGAAAGGTCGTATCGTACCGCTACCGAAAGAAGGAATAAGGCGATATCTGTTCAATGAATTAGCATGGGATAGAAGACAAAAGTCAATGCCGAATACTCGACGGTGACAACGTACCGGGAGTTCAATAGCGATACTTTCTCTACACCAGCAGCGTACAGTACACGAATCAGGTGAGTGAACAAGGCCTTCCAGACACCTAGTTCGATCTCATGCAGGAGATCCACGACCAGGAGACGCGAGAGGCTGAAGTCGGGGCCGAATTTCTCGATAAATGCGTTCTAACGCGATACATCATGAGTATCTTCGGCGAACGGTCAGGCGTTCATAGTGAAACATACCATAGTCGGTGCTGATGATGTGGCTTTGAGCACACGTTCAACAGCGGCACTCTTGATTCCGAATCCCCGATTATATATACAGTCGCGTGCGAGAATCACCTTGTCCAAGAGATACTCCCGAACTCTCGAGACCCGTCGAGAGAAGTCGTGGATGAAGCCTACCCGATCGAGCTCGCTTTTTGGTACCAGACAGCGAGGACAAGGGCACAATCCGTTGTCGCGGATTGATGCCAGGAGGATCCTTGAAGCGTTTGATGTCAGTAAAGTTCACGCAAAAGAGGTGTTAGAAAATTGGACGTACTTCTCGGGGTAGTCCGCGGAGTATGTGAAGAAGCGGGGGAAAACACGGCGTTCGATTCCATCGAGGCACTTGATCACAACACCATAGGTATATGCGTGGATGAATTCGGAGTCAAGGAGCAGCTTCCAAACTGCGTGCATCAGTTCTCGACGACAATGGGCGAGAATGGAAGACTGCTGGGTTTTCCACTTTTCGTTGAAGCCCGAAATCCAGTCATCAAAGCTATCAGGAAGCTAGATAGCGTAACAATCAATTGGAGCGCCGCATGGAATGAAGGAGGAAGACATACCGATGGGATGTACGCCAAATGCTGACATGCACCGGAAGTCGGCATCGCACGTAGATACTTTGACAGATTTCCGAGGAAGAGGTAGATGGGCCAGAGTTTCGCCGTCCCAAAGTTCGCCAGATGAGTTGAGTCCGACCAAAGCATGACACCAGCAAGGATCTTTTCTCGCTTGCAGCTCGGGTCACTAGGATCAGGCGGTGCACGCCGTTGGACCTTCTCGTCTTCTTCCAACCATGCCGTGCTGTTGTATAGTTCACCGTAAACACGTTCATCCTTTCCGCTCACCGTCGACTTCCACCAGACTTCGAACGGGGAGTAGTGGAAGTGTGCGGCGAGTGGTTCTGCGAAGGCGGCTTTGATGACAGAGAGAATAGGGCGGTAATGAAGGCCGGGTACAGAAAACCAGCGAGACGGCTTTGTTTTGTCGCCAGAGGGGACCTCGATCTCAACAGTAGCCGCCACGAAGCCATCAGCAAAAGCCGTACCCTCCAGCCCTTCTTCAGACGCATCGTATCGCTTGGTCTCCCGAACGGCATCAAAATCCTTAAAGTCTGACTGCTTGAAGCCGTCGCCGTTGATGATCTCCTCTACGATTCGATTTGTCTCCGCTGGTGTCTTGGTATTGCTGCCTGTATTGAGCCACGTCATCATTCGGTGGATGCTCATGTTCTGAAAGGGCCATGGCGGATCATATTTGGTGCACTGTGAGATGGGCAGTTTGAAGGCGGTTTTCGAAAGGTCGAGCGGGTCTACGAAGTCGTCTGGATCATGGGATGGTCGACGAGGGTATGAGCGCCACAAGCCGAACGTATTGACAGCAGTGACAAGGCGATCTCGAACGATGAGGATGACCCGTCGAATAGTGGGTGTAGCGTCTGGTGTGGTGTCTTGGATGGGAAGGGGCGGTATTCGTTCTGGGAGATCGTCGCGAAAACGTGTTGGAAGTCGGTGCTCTCGAGTTGGTCGGCCTGTTTGAGATGTTGACACTGGAGCAGGAGGTGGCGGCGGTGGCGGCGGTGGGATAGGACGTGTAAACAAAGAAGTGGTGGCGTTAGGATGAGCTGCGTGAGCTTCATACTCGCCCATGGGTGCAGCAGCAGCGGTGTCGGTGTCGTCGACGGGTGGCGAGCCAAGAAATTCAGGCACATTGTCTATATCCATGGGCTGAAATTCAGGCTACGATGATAGCATCCGGAAAAGATATGATTGTGAGTGGAAGATCAGACAATGATAGGGGAGTAGAGAGCATACCTGGCGTGCATGCGAGCTCTCAGCCTGAGCCAGAGCATCTCGAAGTCGCTGAGCCCTCTGCTGTCGGTTCTGAGCGGCTGTCTCCTGAGACTCAAGCCAGACGTGGCAACTCTTCCGATGGTTTTTCAGATGAACAGCCTGCTTGAAGGACCTTCCGCACGTCTGTAGACAGGTGAATGGCATGCTCCAAGTTAAAGGAGGGCGAAGATTGATGCGGCAGTGGGATAGAGATGATATCGAAGAATGGGCTGGCTCGTGGAGTGAAATAATGGAGAGGAGGGCGAAGGCAAGGAGGAAGAGGAGTATTCCGCTCGTCCTGAAAGATGCCATGAAGTGGCGGGCCACAATCGCTGAGTTCACGGGCATGAGCTCGCAGCATGCTGAGTTTCAGTCAAGAAAGAATACACACGAGGAAGCAGTCTGTATGCTTGTGTTAATCGATACGTCGAGAGCGTGTAGTTCTCATGGAGTGCCACTGAACTGAGACGTCGCCAAAGTTGTATGAATAAGAAAATAAATCATGCATGATATTCATGAGAAGGGTGGCCGCACCTTTGATGGGAAAGCCTTACAACAGCAACAGCCCGGCGAGCGAGCTATAGCGAGATTTCAGAGCAAGGTAGTCCTTAGCGGCACGTAGAGTAGTACATTGTGAGGAAGAGCCAGTTGCACACGAAGCGACATCTCCAAAGTTGCGCGCACGACCAGCGCCAACACGTGGCTGTGTCATCAGCGACTATCTAGATTTCACACTCCGCCGCACAATGTTTCCTCTTGGCAGTCATGGTGTATTCACGCCTATACAGCTAAACCTCCTCTATAGGACTGCTCTCCGGATTCCTGTCAAAGCTTGTCTGCCAGTTTTGGAGTGCACCTAATCGTCTCTGCCTCCTTCGTACTACTATGTGCACCAACAACTGGCTTGATGGGTGAAACCTCAACTCCCGCTAAAAGCCCTCGAGCCAATTTGATCTAGATGTGTATCTGAGATTCCAGGCACTCGTTACTACTATCATCAGAGCCGCTGCGAGTCGCTGTTGGACACTCATTGTGATCCTTCTTGCCCCTAACATCTGTCGAACTTCTGCTTGTACGCTGCCACTCATGACTCCGAAGTATTCTCCTTATCCTGCCTCTCGTCCCAATTATGACCCCTTGAGCGCCCCAAGTGGGTTCCAGTCTACCCACGGCCTGCCGCCTCCAACTCCAAGTTTTGGGAGGCCTCGTGCAGTCACCGCTCGAAAGACAAATAGTACGAAGTAAGTGAATTATCAGCCTTGCTACCCGGCTATTCATTGACCTCTGGAGGTACTCTGTTTCCAGCGGTGCATTCAACAGCCAGACTCCCGATTCTCGAGACACCCAATCTGTTTCACACAATACTCCGAGGATTGGTACCGCTACCGAAGAGGATGTGGTTGATCTGACAGTAGAGTCGGTGGAAGTACGATCCACCAAAGTGAGTATTGTCCCATTCATTAGGTTTGTATTGTTATTGACTCGCATCCCTTTTCCTTGCAGTTGAGGTCCAAACATGTAGCTGAGGCGTCCTTAACGAAGCAAGCAGGTGCTCAGATTGTAAGGGTACAGTCTCTTCCACCACCGCAACCTGCTGGCATTCCCTTTTCACACACTTACTATTTTTGGTCGATCCTCAAAGCCTGATCCTATGCGGATGGTACCCCTTCCGTTTCCGTTGTCCCCTCCGCGGTCCATCCGCCGCCCCGCCCAGCTCGCGGAAGTACCGCCACCCCTCGAGGCACCACAGTTCACGAAACCACGCGGCGTTCAAGACATCAGGCGTGATATCAAACGTGCTCAGAGGTGGATGGATGACCTCGTTGATGAGTTACAAGAAACCTACGATGAGATGGCAAAGATTTAAGAGCATTCTAACTGAGTATCATCTCTAAAACCATCTATACAATACCAATTTTGCGTCCCTTCATCCACGATTTGCAGTGCGGCTTCCGTCTGTGGCGGTCAAAGCATTGGGTATGAATTTGGAGACATTCTGTGCTAGGGTATGGCGACGGCGAAGTGATGTCGCCCAACTATCGCTGGTACGGTACCAATGGAATGCTTGGCATTGGCTGTCAAACTGAAACGCTAACAATCTCGCAATACAGGACCAGTACAATTACCTTGCACCGTGATGTCCTTGCTAGAACATTCACAGAACACGTTCAAGCACCTATATTACCAGTACGTTGTCTATCGTGTCCGCCTTTGCATGATGGACACGCTACAAAAACCCCTCAACTCACAGATGGATTGCTCAAGTTCAATGAGCCGTTAGCTTCGGTCTTGTGTGGATGCGGTTTGACAGTTGGCAATAGCACTGCCCTTGTTGCAGCGCGACGCAATTGTTTAGGACCTGATCCGCTCCTTGGCCAACGGCGGCGAACTAATCACGCCATTCCTTTTTCTAGATGTTTGCTCTCCTCAAAACCAGTTCCTGTCCCATTGTCGTTATCTCCCTTACTTCCCCATCCTCGTTCTTGAAGATGCCTCCCCCAAATGCAGCTGCTCCCGCTGTCGCTCCTTCCGTGGACTCAGACGCGTCTCGCGAGAGTTCTCCCCAATTGGAGGCAGTGCTCGCTCGGTCGAAGCGTAAGATCAACACACTCGAAGCTGATCTTGCCAAGGCACTCAACCAGCAGAAGAGCAGACCAATTACGTGAGTCCACACATTTCTTTCTATTCGGGTCCCCATCAGAGTCTCCAGACGCACTCATACTTCTTCAATCCAAGAATGCGAACCATTGGGCGCGGAGTTTGTCGGATTGCTTCTCTGTTTGTCGACATCCCCACGTTAGTCGCCGAGGCCGACAAACGCGTGGAAGAGAAGCTCGCCAGTTTGCTGGAGACTGTTGCAGTTGCTGTGGATCAGGATGAGGGGATGAGCGACGAGGAGAAAGCAGAACGCCAACGCACGTATGTCACCTCGACTTTTGCTCATTTGTGATTGTAATATCTTACCGTGAGCACATCATTTTGCAGCCGTGATCGCAACTATGCCTCCTTTCGGGCTCTCACCCATCTCGTTCCAAACTTCCAAAAGACCATCGACCAAGCTTCGTCCGATCAAGCGGCCACTTACTATAGCAGTGTTTGTGCTCGTTTCTTCTTGATGCCCTCTCTCCTTTACTAAATCCCCTGCAGCTTAACAGTGGATCAACCGATGCTCGTGGTGACGACATCTTTGCTCTTGTCTCTGGTATGGCAAACTTCCTCAACAAAGCCGGTGCCGATCCAGTGCTTGACACCACCGATAGATCGGAGCGCGGATTCGCACATGCACTGTGCGGAGAACTCCTCTGTCCTATCGAGTGGGACTGGTCCGACGAATGGTTTTTTTTTTCGTATTTCTCTGTGTCTCTCCTCTATTGACTAGATTGATGCTTCCAGTGTCCGAGCGAAAATTCAGAATGCAGACGAAGAGTATGATACGTCTAATCGTTTCTTCCTCCGTTGTCTGTATTCAGGTTTCAAGGGTGATCCGAATGATGTTGAGAAAGGGTTTCTCCGGAGCCCGTTGACTGTCAAGGTACGCAATCATTGTGTATAACTCTAACCTTTGACTATTTCTGCACGCTGATGACTCTCGACTCGCTGTATAGACTATGAAGCACATCTACACCACACCAACCTCCGCCGAGGCTGTCGATATCTCGACGGCCACTATATTGGCACCCTCTGACACGGCTGTGCCCCCGCCTGCGAAGAAACGCAAGCCCAAGGGCAAGCCACCATCGAAAGGAACCGTCGCAGCGAAGATAGGTATGACCCGTGTCACGCCCCGAGCAGTTGCATACACATGTGTGATGGTACGTTCCCACCATTCCCCACCATACAACGATTGCTCACTCACCGTGAACAGCAAGTATTTGCTCTTATGGACGCTGATAAGTGGGATGAGAGTCATAATGGCTTCAACTTCCCCGGGTTCTATGATTTCATCATCGACTTCTTCGAGGACGTTCACACTGAAGAGGAGAAAAAGAAGGCGAAGGAGCTCCTGAAGTGGTGGGACAAGTGCGTACTTCGTGTTCGGATCTTTCTCCGCTCCGACTAACATACCGTATCAGGCAAATCTTCCCTAACTCCTCCCCGGCGAATAACTCAACCACCGGTAATCCCTCGCGTGCAAGGTTGGCCGCTCAACGTCATGCTCGCGCTGCTCCACCTGCCGCCGCCGCTCCCCCTGCCGCCGCCGCTCCCCCCGCTGCCGCCGCTTCTGCCGCCTAGTTCTTATCATACCTTCCCCCTCTCCAACCTTTTCCTCTCGTCTTTCGTTATCTATACCCAGATCCATATATGTATACATATAGACCTTGATCATGGTCTAATAAAATTGGTTTTTCTCGCAGTATCTGTCCGCGTGGTCCCCTGTCTGCAGTCGCATTGAGAGCGACGTCAAAGCGGTACGGTAGTCGTGCCCGGGCGATGACCCAGAATGGTACCCATTGAGTTTCAGAATCCTACCACAGTATGACTGCTGGCGATATGAAGCCACTCTGTGATGCATCGAGAATATATGCCTTTGTTGGACAAGTCTGAAATACATTACCACTGCTCATGATCACCCACGGCTCGGGTTTACATCAACAATATACATAATGACTGGTCCAAAATGTACTTCATTTTGACTCTCGCGAATAATGGTACAGATTAGGAGTGCATATCGGCATGGGGACTGGTGGTAAGGTATCACGATCGCTCCTGATTGACACCAAACGTGGGAGTAGCTACCAATCGCTCTCATCACGAGTCGAGAATCAAAGCTTATCGCACGAAGACACGAGCCTAGGCGAGGGCGATCCCGATTGGGCATCTCAACAATGCCGATCTTGGTATTTCAACGAATGGACTAATTGATGGCAAGGGTTTAATCCGCTGCCAAGAGTTACAATCCATCGAGCAACATTGGCGCAGATTGGCCGGGATTGAACTCGTTACAACGGATTGCTGACGGTTCTAACCGGTTATAGAATTTTCCCAAATTCGCTGATGCAGGGAGAAAATGCGCTCAGTGGCGTACGCCGGCATTTTCCGAGTTGGCATTGCTGGCGACACGCCACCTGCGTTCTTGTCTTGAACCACCATGATCACTACTACCGAGCATGGGCGAAAATCTAAGAATGGCACCGCAGGTAAGTGGTACCGGTAGTCATTTGATTTCATCGAAGTTAAGGACTACCATGTAGCACTTATTCATCCTCAGGAGTGTACGCGAATAGCGCAGACCTTCCCAGTGAATTAAGAACTCCTATGTCATGCGTAGTCGGCTTTGCTTGGGGCTCTCGTCAGGCGAGATCTCATGAGGTTTACCTCTAAATCACACCTACTCCTTGCCGTCCGGTCTTCCCATTGCTATGTTTCTTCATGAATTTCGCACGATACATTTATTTCGATTCAGAAGGGTGTATGTACTAGGTGAAAAATCTGCCCCGAACAGATGCTGCAACTCTCCTGGGGCAGCCTCATCAGCCATCAATCTAATCAATCAACGCTTCGTGTAATTGCTTAATGCTTGAAATCTGCACAATCTTGGACTTCATACGTATATGGATCCGGGTACTCCAGTGCGTTCCAAGCCGCCTCCCACCGCCTCCCACCGTTATGCTTCGTAAGGCCCATCTCCCTGCACAATGCTAGGGTTCTTGCAGCCAATGGTGAACATTCTCTTCGAACGTGTCTTGCTTCTCATAGTTCTCGGATGCAGGGATCTCGGTACCGATGTTCTTTCGGGTCGTTTAGAATGGGCTCTAAGGCAACTTGTCTTCGTACCCATTCACTCCGAGCTCACGAACTTTGACATGCTACCCGTACAACTTCCTGTCATATTCCCTATACGTTCTGGGAAGAGTGCGAGGGCGGCATGCTTCAACTGGGCTCGAGAGATGCTAACATATCTACCAACATGTTTACTGATACTTTTTGAACGTCAGAACACGCCCATCTCGGTGCCCGACCTCCACCACGATGCCCAACAGTTACTCCGGTTTGGGCAATTAATCGGCGAATCTACCTCGCACCTTTACCTGTCTGCACTATCGTTCGTGCCAGAGGGCTGTCCAATTGATCGTCACTTTTCGTTTGATTTGGACAAGAGACCCATCATCTGCTATGGACGAAGTATCCACTGGCCATCCCAGCAAGCTTCCTTGGTAGGCCATGATGATTGTATCAACTGCGCCGCTTTCTCGTCGGATGGCAGGCGCATTGTGTCGGGCTCGTCCGATCGTACAATCCGTTTGTCGGATGCCGAGACAGGAGCACTGCTTGGGGAACCACTACGAGGGCACGATGACTCAATCAACTGTGTCACTTTCTCGTCCAATGGAAAGCACGTCGTATCGTGCTGGGGCGACCGTGCCGTTCGTTTATCCGACGCAGATACGGGAGTGCCAGTTGGAGATCCACTACAAGGACATGGAGATTCCGTGGCCTCCGTCGCGTTTTCGCTTGATGGAAGGCGCATCGTGTCGGGCTCGTCCGATTGTACGCTTTGATTGTGGGATGCCGAGGCGGGAACGCCGGTTGTAGACTAACTACGGGGGCACGACAAGTTGGTCACTTCCGTCGCTTTCTCATTGGATTGGAGACGCATTGCTCTGGGCTCTTCCGATTGTACAATTCGTTTGTGGGATATCGAGACAGAAGCGCAGGTTGTGGCACCACTATAAGGGCACGACAAATCGATTACCTCCATCGCTTTCGAATTCTCGCCTGATGGGAGGCGCATTGTGTCGGGCTCGGAAGATCGTACACTTCGTTTATGGGATGTCGAGACGGGGGCGGAGGTTGGAGAACAACTACAAGGGCGCGACGACTTGGTCACCTCCGTCGCTTTCTCGCGAGATGGGAGGCGCATGGTATCAGGTTCGGCGGATTGTACCGTTCGCTTATGGGAGTTCGCGACTGAAGTACCTGTTGGAGGCGGAATACGATAGCGCGATAGTTATGTTGGTTTATTTGTCGAATAGGTTCCGAATCGTGCCAAGCTCGAGCGATGGTATGACTCATTAGTACGATGAGGCAGTTCCAGACCCCTTCTCCTTCTACCGACGTCATTGCTTCTTGATATAATGGAGGACAACTCTGGTTGGATCACAGATGCCAATGGATACTTTCTTTTTTGGATACCATTAGAGTACAGACACATACTGAATATGCCTCGGGTTTGCTTGATTATCGGGCAAATGGGCTTTTTTACCCTTGATGTCAGCCGGTCCAGCCCATGGCCAACGATGGGTAGAGTAGTCGTGTTCAATCTTAAATTACAGTACATACTCTGCATGATACACATTTACTAATTGATTCCGACGAGCTGCGAGCCATGTGTCCCTCAGACCTCTGTGGGTACGATGGCAGGCTCATTTACCAAGGCCAGGCACTCTGGTTTGTTCAGACTCCGTCCTACTTCTGGAAACAAGATATGCATGAAAACGCCTTCGCAGTCTCATATTTCGACCTACGACTCGATCTCTTTACAGTACATCTCATTGCTCTTCCCTCTACGTATGTCGAGGCTGATAGACGGTCCAGATGAATTTGCGTGCAATGATTGTGCAGTCAGAAAATATACTCGCTCTCGATGACAATGTGGAGACCTTACCTTATTCCTTATGATCGCTGTATTTCAGAAGGAACCCCGCATTTCCCTAACTCCCAAGCCTCACTCACTTCCACACCTGATATATGCAGATCCAGCAATCCCCTCGAAGTTGATGCAGCTAGCCTCGTTCGCATTATTACTCACTGATCCAGTCACAGCGCCCCCACATCCTCCTTCCGACCAGAGTTGAGCGCTGCACGGGAAGCCCGTAGTGCTCAGGAAAAGGGAGGTACCCTGTTGAGGGATGCAGCCTGTGTGGTCGGGACCCAGAGACTGGTAGAACTCGACAGTTCCTTGACAATTTGCGGAGTAGAAGATATCGAGGTACGACGCCGAAGAAGTACCGGCGCAGAGGAGACCGAAAAGAGAGAGAAGTCGAGGGTTAAACTGCATTGTGCGTAACTTTATGGTGAAACTTAGGTTAGACTGAAGAGACTAGGGTGGGAATCTAGCCTGGGACACACCTGATGGCCGGACTGCGGATTGGTTTGTGAGGGTTGAGAATCTGAGGAGTTCGCAATGAGATGTCGGATAAAATTACACAGTATCCTGTCTTTTATATACAGGAGTATATCAGGGTTAGCTCTTAACAACTCACCTAGCGCTAGGTGAGTTGTTAAGAGCTAACCCTGATAAAACACTAACTGTGGACTGCTGTGCCATTGAAGAATGTTCCCCGGGGGATCTCCCCGAGTACTAGCGCGGATGAGGTTGTTAAGAGCTAACCCTGATAAAGCACTATAGCTGTGCCATCAGGTCCTCGGTTCAAACCCCTCATGTGGTTGTAAACAATTAATCCCTAATGGTTGTAATTTGGACGTTTGGTACATGCCAACG